CAGACGGTAGTCAGACTTCTCTTCCGGTCCACACAAAAATGGTGTTTGACCAGTAGAAGCGTACACTGTGCTCCGATATGTCAGCAAGCATTTTGGTAACATAGCGTCCCACTCACATTTTGATCCACAAAGGCATTCAGTAGCGAATTCAGCGACCGATTTGTACGCTCAACTTGTTCGTTGCCTTGCGGGTGGCAAGCCGTCGTTCGCGTCTTGTCTATACCGAACACATGACAAAGTTCTTGCACCAACAAACTCTCGAAACATGAGCCCCTATCAGAGTGTAGCTGCCCGGTGCTCCCCAGTGACACCCCGTGATTCACCATCGCCGTTGTCACGATGACTGTATCGGCTTGTGCGATGGGAATTGCTTCGCACCACTTAGTGAAATAGTCGACCATGACCAAGATGTACCGATGCCCAGGTGATGTTTCTGGTAGGGGACCAACAAGATCTACTACCACTATCTCGTCCGGGTAGCCTGCATTTATAGGCTGCAATGGTGCTCTGCGGGTGATGCTCGGGTTCTTGAACGTGGCGCATATCTCACAAGTCGGGCAAAAGTTAGTGACGTCGCTCCGTTGATGTGGCCACCAGCACCGTTGACGTGCTGCCGCTTCAAGTTTGTTGATTCCAACATGACCCAGCTGTTCGTGCAGTTCAGATAACACTTCGAAAACTAATGATCGCGGAACTACGATTCTCCTGACATAGTTTGGGCCAAAATCAAGCACTAACACGCCTTCCTCGATAGAGAGCTTGTCCCACATCGCCCATAAGCATCGAGCTTTGTAGCTTTTTCCTTCCATTTCCTTCGCCGTAGGTTTGTCGTTCCCCAATCGTCGTTTGTCATAGATCGGTGATACGGCTGGGTCTGCCGCCTGTGCCTCCTTCCAACGACCGTACTCCGAACTTTGAAGGTTAACTAGCTGTGTTAGTACAAGACGGGCAGTCTGCATGAGCACGAGTAGGAAGTCTGGAGAGAGCGTCCGCGTTGGCATGCTGTGCACCAGGTCGGTGTCGGCACTCAAAATCATACTCCTGAAGTTGTTCCTGCCATCTGGCGATCTTCCTTCGGGGTCTCTGAAATTCTGTAACCAACGAAGTGACTGATGATCTGTTCGTACCAGAAACTTCCTTCCCAATAGGTAGTGTCGGTTTTGTTTTATAAAGAATACTAGGGTTAGCATTTCCTTCCTGGTTGTGCAGTAGCTCCGTTCTCTTGCAATGAGACTCCTACTGCTGTAAGACACCACTCGTTCTATTCCGTCCTGTCCATTCTGCGACAAAACCGCTCCAATCGCCTGGTCGCTCACGTTCGTGTCTAGAATAAACTTCCCGGCATTTGGTGACAGGTCGGGGAAAACTAACACCGGAGCTGCACAAAAGGGATTCTCATAACCGATCGAAAGAATTTCGACACTCGACGGTCTGAGCTTTCTGTAACAAAGCATTCAAAGGCGCAGCGATCTCTGAGAACGGCTTCACGAATCGCCGATAGTATGAGGCTAACCGTAAAAAACTGTCTAGTTCATCAACGTTGGCAGGGGTTGGCCATAATCTCACTTTCTCCGTCTTACAAAGGTTAGTTCGAATTCCCATCCCCGAAATGATGTGCCCAAGATACATTACCTCTGTCTGTAGTAAATGACACTTTGTTGGATGGAGTTTGAGGTTCACATTTACCAGGCGCGTTAGCACCTCCGCAAAGTTGATTAGGTGCTCATGTTTTGTTTTTTCCGTATACAATGACATCGTCCAGATAAACGAAACACTTGTGGGGAATCAATTCGTGTAAGACTTTTTGCATCAGGCATTGAAAGGTCGCAGAGGCATTAGAGATGCCAAGACGCATGGTCTGGAACTCATTAAAATCTGATGGTACTGCAAACGCCGTTTTTGCTCGGTCGCTTTCCTCCACTTCTACTTGCCAGTAGCCGGAAGCCAAATCTAGGGTACTGAAATAAACTGATCCTCCCAGTGCTGAATACTGAATACTGTATTTTGGAGCAAGTAGAAAATAATTCTGTACAACTCCATCGGGTGATAATCAAAAAAAACATTTTTAAAAAAAAATAAATAAACACGTCCGGTGGTTATCATGAGATGGTTCAGTAACTCCTTCTGTAGCACACAAAATGCTTGTTTACACAGTGAGTCACAAGTGGGTGATATCGTTGTCAAGTGGCAACCGTTCTCTGAAACGTATGTTAGCGAAGTGTACATCCAACAAAGATTTGAATTTCTGCATTTCTGCACAGATTCGGCCTCGACGACGTGTTCTGGCAGACTGTTCCAGGCGTGTACAACCCTCCGCTCGAAACACAGGGGGTGTGGGATTTTCTTCAGATCAGGTACCACGAGTTTGTACCTGTGCCCACGTGTGGTGCATGGTACTCGCAAGTGGAGTAACGACCTTAGCATGGGGAAATGACCGAGATGTAAAATACGGTAGGTCATGATAAGATCCACTCGAACACGGCGATATGACAAGGTGTAGAGCCCAAGTTTCATGCACCGGTTTTCATACGATAAGCCTCTCAAGCTGGGGATCAACTTGGTGGCGATGTGTTGTACTCGTTCGATCTTTTGCGCTTCGCCGCGAGTGATCGGACAATATGCAGGCGAGCCGTACTCTACCATTGGCCTGACGATGGAAGAGAAGAGGCGAGTGGCGACGTCCTCAGACCAAGTGCAGAAGCTGCGTTTCAGCGCCCAGAGCATGCGCAGTCCGTTTCGATACAGTTTGTTGGTGTTGTCGACGGACTTCAAGTCGCAGCGTGAGAGTACACCTAGGTCTTTCACGGAAGGTGTGGGATGCAGTGGTTGGCCGTCTAGGGTGTACGTTCGTCCGTGAACAGCCTTCCCGAGACTCATGAATAGGGACTTGACCGGGTTGACCGGTAGGTGGACTTCAAATAGATCATCCATTCTGGATAGGGGAAAAGCGTCTTTCCGAGTAATTCATTTAATCGTCTATAGTCGACACATAGGCAAAAACCACCAACCTTCTTCTCACTAGAACGACCGGGGATGCCCATGGTGACGCAGAGGGACGTATTACCTTCTTTTCTAGCATCTCATCTATGAGCTTTTGCAATTCAGTCTGAAAAATGTAATGGTATGCGTCTGGTGGGAATTTTAGTCGGGATTGCGTCCCCGGTGTCGATACGGTGTTTCACGAGATTGGTTCGAACCAAGTCGGAACTTCGCCATGCGAATACGTCTGAGTGGTTGCGCAACACGTCATTGAGCCGCTTCAGTGCCTGCTCATCCGTGACTCGGTCGAGTGAGCGAATAAAGGCGTTAATGTATTTCTCACTGTCTAAGGTGTCCTCATAGGTTGTAAAAGCCTCCAAACCACCACTTTCACAGGGTCTTAACAATACTGTACAGTTATCAGTGATTAGTTGACACCTGTCTAGATCCAATCGACACTTCAACCGGCGCAACAGATCCATCCCAACAATAACAGCAAACGGAATTTTGTCCGCAACAATAAACTCCTGGGTGAAGCTCTGTTTCGCAACGTCAACTCGTGCGGTTAGGGATCCTCGAACGGATAACAATTCTCCATTGGCGGCAGTTAGTCGGCAGCGACAAGGTGCGCATACGCGTTCTGCTAGCTGGTTAGTCAAGTTAGATCTGATTAGGCTCTTACATGCACCTGTGTCGATGAGACCTATTAACGGAACACCTTCGATCTGTAATTCTATTGCTAATGCTGATTCTGTGGTAGATGCACAAACAATGGCTGGCATGAAGTGTGAATGCAACCAGTGCCACTCACCTGGGCGTACATCATTGTAGCGAGCAAGTACGCAGTTCAGTATTTGTCGGCGGGGCCACTGAGAACCCGGTTACGTTGCTCGCCGTGAGCCGGGATATCTTTGATGATAGTCAGGATGCCCCGTAAACCGTTCAGTTGAGGCATGTCTGGGGCGTCCGGTTCCCCTCAACGCGAAGCACCCGGGAGTCGGCGTAGCCATCACTCTGTCGACTTGCACCAGTTGTTCGCCAGTTCATATGGCTGCATCCAACTGCTCGGGGGGGGGTGAAGAAGGAATTCACGCTTAATGGAGGGTGTTTGGATTCCTTCTAGGAGTTGCTCCAGTATTCGTTTGTCACGCTCGCTCGATGACTCTTGCTCGTATGCGATGTCGGCCATCTTTCGGAGTTCGCGCACATACGTCCCAATGCTCTCTCCGAGCCACTGGTATCGGGAGTGGGATGCTCTGCGTAGGGGAGCACGTAAAGCAGGACCGTCCAGTACACGCGGCGCAAGGCAGAGAACGTCTCGGTCGTGACTTCTTTTTCCAGAATTTTGCTATCAGCAACGATATCAAAAGCATCACCTGACAGCAGGCCGGCGAGCACGCCTGCATGTTGGTTGACTGGAAAATGACGGAGGTAAAGCTGCACTTGCTTCTCCCATCTGGAGTACGTCATCCCGGGGGTGTAGCGTTCTGGAGGAGGGATTGCATGCATGCAGACTAACGAATTCGAGCCTGTCGATAATTTCTCCAAAGTACGGGACAAAGCATCCAGTGAAGTGGAAAGTCTGGTCGTGGGGTCAACAACATCAGAATGGCTTTCGTCATCAGACTTTTCGGTCGTTTTCGGCATGATCTTCATTGGACTAATGATGCTGGATTCCTGGTTCTTGTGACCGATACCAGTGGCCCGGAGAGAGCATTGGGACGTATGTGCGCGAACTCCGAAAGATGGCCGACATCGCATGCGAGCAAGAGTCATCGAGTGAGCATGACAAACGAATACTGGAGGAATCTAAACGCCTTCCATTAGGCGTGAATTCCTTCTTCACCCCACCCCCCCAGAGCAGTTGAATGCAGCCATAAGAACTGACGAACAACTGGAGCAAGTCGACAGAGCGATGGCTATGACGACTTCCGGGTGCTTCGCGTTGTGGGGAACCGGACGTCCCAGACGCGCGCCAAAACAGTTTCGATCCTTCTCTACACATGGAGCATGTATACAACCTGTCTTCTGTATCCTTGAACAGAAAACAAATAGAAGCTTTGTCATTAGCCTTGAATTTTAAAATTCTCCTAAAGAATGTCGACAGAATATACATTGAGACTCAGTTTAACAACCTATTGGACCGACTATCCAAATTGACCCTGACGACTAAGGAACAGCACAACTGGCTTAAGGTTAAGCTCGCTAACATTGCAAACGGTTACATGGTGGTCCCGATACACTAAATCTGTGGTATAGATAGAAGCCACATCAAAACCTTACGTGATCTGAAGGCAAGAGATATGTTGGTGCTAAAATCTGACAAAGGCACAGGGGCTGTAATTATGAATAAACTTCAGTACAAAAACAAGATGTATGAGATCTTGGGAGATGAATCCAAATTTCAGGAAGACCAAAGCGAAACCACTGTAACACAAATCGAAAAGAGGGTGACTAATCAACTAAAATTGTTGCTGCAACATGGAATGATAACAGAAGCGACGTACAACTCTCTAAAGCCAATGGGGACACACACCTCTCAAATGTATGGCTTACCGAAGATCCACAAGGCCAACATACCTTTAAGACCTGTACTATCCATGTGTAACTCACTATACCACAAGTTGGCACGTTGGCTAGTTGATCTGCTTACACCGGTGAGACGAATGATGACAAAGTATACGGTGAAGGACACATTCGACCTGATTGACTGTGTGTAAAACATGAATATTGCTGGCAAGGTAATGTGTTCAATGGACGTACAGTCTTTGTTCACTAACATTCCATTAAGAGAAACGGTGGATTTCTTATGTGAGTTTATCATGAGTAATAAAGTAGTGTTACCGATTCCCGTGGAATATCTTAGGGATTTGCTGCTACTATGCACGGAAAATGTGCATTTCTTATTTGAAGACAAGCCGTACCGACAGGTGGATGGTGTAGCCATGGGAAGTCCGCTTGGCCCGGTATTGGCTGACATCTTCATGACGATGGTTGAAATGAGATGTGAGCCGCACATCAACCAAATGTGTTTATACAGGCGATACGTAGATGACACACTAGTGATCGCCCCAAGTGGAGACGCTGTTCTATCTCTTCTCAATGTGCTCGATAACGCACATCCAAACGCTCGTTTCACCTGTGAACTGGAGGACAACAATTGCCTTCCGTTTTTGGATGTGTTGTTGACCAGACGAGAAGACGGCTCCATAAAGCGTTCTGTTCACAGGAAAACTACATGGACAGGACTGTATGAACACTTCAACAGCTTCGCCCCTATCCAATACAAGCGGTGCTTAGTCAAGACACTGTTTAATCGAGCCCGCAGAATATGCACTGACGACTGTTTGGAATCGGAATTGCTGTTTATCACACAGACGCTACGGGCCAACGGATATCCAGAGGCGTTTATTCGATTTCACAGTCAACTGAAGGAAAACAGGCCGAGGGTACTTACTGTGCCCAAACTGTCTGTCTACCTTCAATTACCTTTCAAAGGTGATATCGTGGCCGCCCAACTTGAAAGACGTTTGCATACAGCGATTCGCCGGACATTCAATGCCGCCAAATTCTGCCCCATTTGGGAGACCAGGAAGTTGCCTATGCCTCCAGTGAAGCCTACTCAACCGATCTCCGCCACAACCCATTGTATTTACCAATTCGTTTGTAACTGCGGAAGTAGTTACATTGGCAGAACAGATCGATCCTTGGGTAAGCGCATTGGAGAGCATATCCCAAAACGGATTGCTAAGCTATCGACACAACAAGCAGCCGAACGAGAAAAGGTATCTAAGCTGCCGGCATCATCTATCGCCAGACATCTAATCGAAACAGGCCATCAGGTTGACCCTGGGTCAACATTTACAGTTATCTATCGAAATGAAAACCCCAAAGTTTTGAGGTTCGCCGAAGCTGTGGCACTTAACTGGCATCGCCCTATCCTTTGTGTACAGAAACAATTAACAGTCTCCCTAAAGCTTCCTTGGGGCTCATGACCCTAAGGTCAAGCTCGTTGATCTGTTATTCTTGCGTCTACGTAATTTTCCTTTGTGACCAGTTTCAAACCTTCGATTTTTCTGTCACGTGATTCATATTTATGTTGTTAGTTTGCGAGTGAGCAGATAACACGAAATGGTTCCATCTCGCAATACCAGTCTTATTAGTCTTATTTAGAATGATAAAGGGAACTCAGTGCCTTAAAAGAAAAAAAGGCATCAGCAGTACGTCGGTACGCAGCACCAACAATTCGCTACCGCGCAACTACCACCAGTCGCGCGTGGGCCAATGATACTGCGAGGGTCGCCCGGTCCTCTAAGTAGTCTCGAACCCGCGCCCCCAGATTACAGGGCAGGCTTGTGATCCTCAAGGCTACAGAACAAGAAAGATGTCGGCCGTGCACCACTAGCCCGAAACGATGCCTTGCCGTATGCAACCACATGCGGCTGCACAAGCGCTGGGGTTAGCAACCTGGAGCACTCAAACCAAAGCAACAGAGGGAACTCGAAACTGGCGAGTAGAAGTAGTAAACCAAACTCCAGAACCAATACACCGGGCAACAAGCACCGTTGATCACTTACTTGTTACACTCATTTATAGAGTTCATATAACACTAAATGGTCAGGTGACAACTGAATATCTTTATGGTGAAGTCGGCTTGAAATCCACCGAAATGAAGAGTCCTAAGCGTTCCTGGTGCATGTCTTCGTCGGGATAAAGGATCAAAGCTCCAAATCTAGCTCTGATCGGGCGAGACATACAAGAAGTTATGAGTCAACAATGAACAATAAATTTATAAGGGTTAAGAAGCGTTGCTTTACAAGTCCCGTTGGATAGTTGCAGGGGATATCAAAATGATAATAATAATCATAATAATAACAATAAAACAGCTAGTACTTTAAATATGCAAATAAAGACTTATCGTTTGCTCCGCTGCAGTCCTGCAATCCACGTAGATTTAAAGCATCCACAGTTAACATCAAATAACTCCATGGTAAACTCCGGGTGTGGGATGGAGACGTAGCGCTAAGTGACAAAGTGTAAGTGGGTGAGTGCATCATCCAACCGTCTTTTAAATACTGTTAGTGTCGGTGTAGAGACGACCGATTCTGCGAGAGCATTCCACGGGTGACAGACACGAATGGAAAAGAAATTTCGGCGGCACTAGAGCGGCTACTGTTCTACGAGTTTGAATGAGTGGCTCCTCAGGGTTGTATTCTTGCTGAGTAGAAGTAATGGGCGGCACACATGATGTGAGTCTCGCAGAATCAACTATACCATAATCAGATCGCCTAGTAGTTTGCGATAAGTTCCACTGAATACCTCCAATAGTTGCAGCCTCTCCTGGTAGGAAAGATTGCGCATTCCAATTACGTTCTTAGATGCCCGACGTTGTGGCTGCTCCAGTGCATTAAGGTCGTGTTTCAGCCATGGATGCCAGGCTTGAACTGCGTATTCGAAATGGAGGGGGGGGGGGCGAACATACACACTCAGCATTAGTCCAAATATCGAGCTGTTTATTTGTCCAAACGCCCGTCACAACAGCCCGACGTGTTGGTTCCCAGTCTTCGAGGCCTTTGGGAGTGCCTAGAGTAACCCAAGTCACCTTGAACCAGGAGACCCAAGTCACATACAAGAGTTGATCGTTGCAGTACATTCGTTCCGAGCCGGTATGAGTAGCTGCTCTGAGGTCGGATGGAAAGTACCTTGCATGTACACACGTTGAAATGCAGTAAATTTAGGGTTGACCATTGATAGACCGTAGTTAGGTCATTCTGAAGCAGATGCTGGTCGCGTTCACCTGGATCCTGCGACACATCCTGATATCGTCGGCAAACATTAGGAAGTTTGAAGCCATTCCCTGTGCAAGATCATTAATAGACAGCAAGACAAACGTGGACTTATAAGTGAACCTTGCGGCACACCGCACTTGACTTGTATGGGGTCCGACAAATATCTCCGAATTCTGAACACTAATTGCCGTTGAAGTAGAAAGTTGGTGATCCAGCTTAAAAGAGGGTCGCCGATCCCGTAATGCTGCAGCTTGGAGAGTAGTATTCGACGGTCTAGAGGATCGAAAGTCTTGGAAAAATCCAGGTAGACCACATCAATACCTTCTCCAGTGTCAGCTGCCTTGGTCCAACTACTGCGCGTAATTAGTAAATTCGTTGTACATGACCGCTGTCGACGGAAGCCGTGTTGCTCAGGCGTGATGATTTTACAGCTTTTCAGATAACACGGCAGTTCATCGGAAACTATGAATGCCATGACCTTAGAGAGTATAGGAAGAAGGGATATTGGGCGGTAGTTGGAAGGCTCAGTTCTGCTTCCACCTCTGTGAATCGGGGGTATTATTTCAAGCTTCCACTTAGCGGGAACTTGGTTCTGGGCTAAGCAGCGCTGGAAAAACTAAGCTAAAGGTCCTGCCAGTTGATTTACTACGGCTTCCAGTGTCTCTGGACGAATGGTGTCTACATCTGGCGAGTAGTGTTTGCGTAAAGAAGTCAGGTTCTGCAATAAAGCCTTTGCGGCACAAGTGAGGCAGGTAAGTCATGACGATGATAAGACAAAGGTTGGAAGATCGCTTGGTGTCAAGACCATCTGAAACGTGGGGACATACTACATCCGCAGCGAGTTTGTTGCTTACACAGCCGTCCTTGTTTTGCCATCGTCCATCTTGAGTAGAGGAAATCCTTGCCTCACCTTTCGTAGGCTACTGATGTGTTTGTGTTTGGCACTGAAGCTTTCCGCAATGTTCTGCTGACAGGCGGCTTCGCCTTCTCTAAGCATTAGCATGCAGTGGTTTGTTGGGTCTCGTAGTTGTCCCAAATTTCTGGTGCTGGAGTTTCTCTGTACACCCGCCATGCTGCGTTGCGAACCGTCATTCATTTTCGAGTTCTGCTCCTAACGAAAGAAACGGATTTGTACTTATTGCAAGCTTTTATCTCTGAAGCCTGTGCAATCAGCTGACTGAATGTGTTGACGAACTCGAGCCAGGCGACTTCCGGGGGTTCCTCTTCGAGGAAAGACCATGTTGTGGCGCTGACTAGCTGGGCGAGTCGGTCGTACCTTGTGATGTTTTGCACAGTATCATCGTTATCATTCAGATATTCTGCATAGCAGACGAAGTTGAAACTGATGACTGCGTGATCACTGCGACCCAACGGGCAGTCTAAAACCAACGCATCAATCATATGCTCCTCGTTGGTAAGCACAAGATACAGCACAGATGGCCTGTTACCTGTTCTGAACCGAGTGGGCGAAGTGATGTGATTGTAAAGAGGAGCAGTGGTTACGAGATTTTGTAGACCGGCTTCGAAATGTTCTCCGATCGTGGCAGGAGTTTCTATACAATGTACGTTGAAATCACGCATGATAAGGATGGGAGTGTACTTTTGTCGTAAACTATCTTAAAGCAGCCGCTAGGTGGCAGTCGGTTTCGGGTGTAGAGTTAGGGGGGGGGCGGTACACCAAGACAATAAGCCAAGCGTCCCTGCCTTTTAACTGCAAGCGGCATCAAAGATAGTCGGGGAACTACAAGTCTGAATCCTCCACGGCTTCGCACCGTAAGTCGCTTCGGTAATACAGGATTACCCCTTCTTTTGTGAGCCTGTCGTTCCGGATCAGTGACATGCCCGGTAGCGAAACTTTAGCGTCCGTCATTCCCGTGTGCAACCACCTCTCAATGATACTAATGACATCATATGACCCGGAAGCATGGCGATCTTTCAGTTCGGCCAATTTATTATAAAGATCCTGAGCAGTCATGTACAAACAATCCAGTTTCTCGGTCTCTAGGAATCCACAGAGAGCTAAAGGGGTCAAGTGTGGGAGAATGTCGACCGATGGGAGGTCGACAGTTACTCGCTTTTTGATGGGATAATAATACTTCGTCTGAAAGCTGATTCGGCCAAGGTGCGTCCCAATCTTCGTTTAGACCTACGTCAGAGTCGATTAAAGCAGCAGTTAAGTTACGCTTCGGTACATTCGTTGGTATGCCTGCTGCTTTAATATTTGAGCTGTGGAAAGCTTCTACGACCTTAAACCGAAGTTCAGAGGGAAGACTTTTCCGATTTCTCCGTCATCGATCCAAACTATCCGTTGCTTGCTGCTCTGACTGAACCACAAGTTTTAGGATTCTAGGGTCGCGTCCTCTATACTTTGGTGAGAGAGGTATCCTGGTGAGCGATAGCGCCACAATATTATCCAAAGAAAGTGTTTCACCAATGAACCGCCACTGTTCTAAATCATATTTTTCGGTCACTTGAGCATCATTAGAAGGATGTTCTGGCACGCCATGTATGAAGACTGTGTTTAGACGATCTTGCTTGCTGTGTCTCTCTTCGGTGTTTATTTTTGATTGTCGCGCGCTCCAAGGGACATCAGGATAGATGCGTACCCCACAGGACCCGTGTTTTAGCGCACTTGCGGAGAGCAAAACGTTTTCTACAAACGTGGAGGATTCAAGTGTTACTCGAATAAGTCTGGGTTCTCCATAGTGTGACGAGTAATTCGTAATAAATTTATGGGCTCGGCTTTGACACTCATCAGCAGCACGCACATTGAGTTCCATTGGTCTTGGTCGTCCGATAACATACCCCGCAATGTGATGGCGGTAGATTCGGGGACATTTGAGCGAAAAATAGTCCGGACACTATTGTTGAATCCCTTTTTCGTTGATGTACAAGGTAGGGTACTCGTTTGTCCTGACCTGCTGACAAGTGTTGATTGTTTACTGTTTGTCCCTTTATTCGCGTTAACGGTGTTTACAACAAAAGAGGTCGCAACGGCGGCCACTCGGTTTACCTCTGCAGCAATCTCTGCATATGTAACTGATGTTCCCGGGAGGCTCTGTCTTGACAAGAGACATTTGAGCTACAGGTACCGAGGGTTGGTGATCAGCTGCTTCATCCTTGTTAATGCTAGAGGTCAGGACTAGTGAAATTCGCTTAATCAGACGTTCCGAGTGGTGCCTGATTTTCGTTGCTATGATTTTGTAGAAAATGTATTAAGGGTTGCTTATTATTTTACTGTCAGATGATGTTATTACTGGTGGAAGGCGATATACCCACTTCAACCTAGAGTATATTTCCCCCGGCCGTAGAGTAAAATAGGCAAATTATGGGTTACAAAGGGTATAGAGATTAATTAAATATTTTAATAATAAAAGTAAATGCATTGACTTGGCTATAGATGGTTGTAAGCTTAAAGTAAAATTTATGACGCTTCTTCGTAGTCTGTAGCCCTTTTCAAGGACATTCTGCAGTTGATCGCTTCTGACATCACAACTAGTGTCCTTAGAGAGAGGAAAGAACACATGGTCGGGAATACCTACAAACGCGTACTTAAAAAGACGGAAGCAGCGCTCTTGTGAACAGATCTCACTCTAGTAAACTGATTGCACAGCGTCGGCGCATCAGTTCACAAGGCAAGGTTGCGATGCGAACAAACTAGAGGCAATAAACAAGAACACCCACCGAAGTCGTTTCTCTTCTGCGTCCCTATCTACGTCCGGTAAAAAGCTAGTATCCACGGCAGGATTCATGCCCAAGCGGCGGCGTTTTGTTGGCGTATGTTCCGAAGATTGAGCAGAGCCCGATTCTGAAAAACCAAAACCAGTAGAATCGTTTGACTCTTCGGCTTTAGCTTCCACCACCTAAAATGCACCTGAGGAATGTAAAACAGCGCTTTGCGGTCTACTTCTTTGGCTTCTTCGGTACTTTTGAGGGGAGCAGTCGGCGTGCTTTCATTTTTTTCTTTAAGTTCCTCCTCCTCATCTTCTTCTCCCTCCTCTTCTTCGAAAGAGAGCAAACTCTAAAATGGGAAAATAGTAAGCGTTACTATGATCACTAAGTCTACCGGCTGAAGTTTGTTTTTCTTGTCCGTACCTCCATGACCTGGTCTACCGTACAAACCTTTAGAACGGCCCAAAGCCAGCTCTTTCTCACGCTGTGTCATGAAAGCGCGTTGTCTAGCCTTCATTTCATCCAGAGTAACTAAACCTATCTGGAGTAAACAGGTGAAGTGAACGCAAAAGAAGACACTCACTGTATCCGTTCGCAACTGTTGTTCGATCGCATCGTAATGTACCGCGAACTTGGTAGATATTTCACCCACGCGCATTTCGGCCTCAAGCTTCCGTTTCTGGAGTTCCAACTCTTGTTTTTCTTTTTCTCGTTGTTTCATAAGCAACATAGCCCGTTGGGCCTCTTTCGCGGCACCTTTGAAGGTGGCCATGGCTAAGAAACTGATTGACAAAAAAGATAGCTGTAGCCGCATCACTTCGAGAAAATAAAAGTAGATATACTCATACGATGACATGTGCAGTAACACAAAAAGAAATGACTAGAGAAGCTACATAAAAAGTGGGGGACATTCAATCAGCTAGGCCATTGTGACCTGGGTAGTATGATGCTGAATCAGTACCACCACAGAATAGGTAAGATTTCGGTTCGGGTAAAAGATGGTCAACCCAAAGCGATAGAACAGTAAGAATAGTTGAGTAAAAAGTGCCAACATGGCTGGGTCATAAACGGATAACCTAAGAGCCTTTGACCAGGGATGTATCCCCTGCGCCTCAGGATGTAGCGAATCAGCATAATCAAAAGCAATGCACCGAGGTGAAGAAGACTCAGTAGCTATGACCCAGTTGAATCAGCAACGATAGGCGCAAAAGAAAATGAAGTCCGTTCACATATTGCAAAAGCTAGAACTGCCTTTTTGAATTCGCGACATCTTTGGCGACAGAAAGTACTTTTCCACCGTCTGAAAGGTCGTGTTTACAAGGCCACTGTGAGGACCGCCCTAATCTATGGGAGTAAAACGGCCGCTTCGATCCAAGGAGCTGAGGTGTTTTCAAGTCGTTGATCATCGTTGTCCGCGAAGCATTGCCACTTGGATCAGCAAGTGGCTAGTGTTCCTGCAGCAACTTTGAAGGTGTGAAGAGCACACCAAATAATGAGACCACTCTAGACAGGCTATTCAGGGTTGCCTGTGCCGCCGCAAAACCTTCAAAAAAAAGACGATATCGTCCGCATAAACAAGATCAATTAATTTAGTTGCCCGTTTGTTCGCCGAGCTAAGAAATTTGTTTGCAAACGTTTCGCCGCCACGCGAGGCGGCATCATCAGTGCGTCGAGATGTGGAGTGTAATCTCGCTGATTGAATTGTCGATCCGTGATCGGCGTGCACGTGACTTTTCGAAAGTGACGGCTTCGATCTGTGTCCCGCGATCGTTACCCATTTCCCCGTGGCGGAGGTAGTCGCTCAGGTTGTTCCTATTCAAGCAGCGTCTCGTAATTTCTCTAAGTTCTCACCGTAGGAGGGACTGGTAAACTGGGTCGATGTCGATATGCATGTTGATTGAGTCTTTTGTTGAGAAGCACGCTTTCAGGAGCTCCCTTTCTCTTCTTGTTTCGCCTCGTGCCAGGACTTCTGTTCTGGCCCAATCAAATCTGTGTTCCTTTGCATCCACGTGTGCTGAGGCTAGCGATGATGCATAGTGCCTTTTGCATGCCCTTTTGTGCTCTTGTAATTGTGTTGTTAATTTTCTACCTGTTTGCCCAACATAGTCCTTTTCGCAATTTCTACAACTTAGTCTATATATAACCTTATCGTGTTCATGTGCTTCCAGTTTCTCCTTCGATTTTGACAGAGTTTTCCTCAATGTGGCATTTGGTTTGTGTGCTACGATGAGGTGATGTTGTTTGAATAGTCTTGCTGCCATTTCGGATATGTTCTCCATATAAGGAAAAACAACGCGTCTCTCCGTCGTTGGTGTAGACTGTCTGTGGACCACAATGCCTATATCGAGAGATTACGCAAGGAAACATTCCATGATGATGGCCAAGATGAAACTGAATATATATATATATATATATATATATATATATATTCACAGTCTGTTTACAGACATTGTGCCATCAGAACCATCGCAGAAGAAAAAAATTGAAGATGTGAACATGAACTGCGCTTAAAAAATATGGGAAACGATCTTTTTTGGTTTTACACATGCCATTTTGTATGTTTTGTTTTGTGTTTTTGTGTGCATTAAAGGGATGGTAAAATGGCAGAGCAACATTAACGCCACTGATGTCTGTTGCGGGCCATGACATCTAACGTTTCCAACTACTGCGATTCAGCATCTCGTGGTCCCAAACCTGGAAGACGGACTGGTCCGACTGCCACCAAACTTGAGGTTGCCTTCTTCATGCTCCTTCGCCACGTCATTGGCTGTCTTCCGCGGCACTTTTTCTAATCGCTCCCTGGGAGTGCAAACAGCGCTGGACGTGGAAGGCGATGGGCTAGCATGCGCAGAACGTGCCCGAGCCAACGCACGCGATGTCCGAGAATAACCTCTTGAGGCCTGGCACTATTCGCTCCAAGCACGCGGTCTCGCACCTCTGCGTTGCTTACATGGTGTTGCCACCACACCCGAGCAATCCTTTGTGGACAACGATTGTCGAAGACTGAC